TTTTTTCAAGTGCTTTTAAAGTTTTTTGTTTTTTTTTAAGTTATTTAAGGTTTTTCCATACTGTCCACACCTGTTGTGCGCTCACCACTCCCATTGTTTTTATACAACTGTGATTAAGGCCTACATGACGAGAGATGGGGGTGGTTAGCTTGCCGTTGTTAATGAGGAATGTATGGTCGTTGATTCGTTTTTTAGGGGTCTTATGGTTTTACCCACATAAAATGCCCCACATACACATAGCATGAGATATACCACCCCCGTCGTCTCACAGGTATAGTGCTCTTTTAGAGTCCATCTAAACAATCTTGAAGTTTAAAAGCGTGCTTTGAGATTCCCACACTTACACATTTCTTTGGATGCAGTGACACATATTCACTATGCTCTGTGAATATGTACTGCTAAGTCACCCATTTCATAGAGCCTGATGTCTGAACCTCAATTCCATATCTGGATGTTCTAAAGAGGAGGATTTTCAGGAGGCACAGTCAGTACATGACCCATATGCGACATCACTAATAGTTGCAGGCAGCAAGGTACCATGAGATATGTAGTCCTTAGAAACCAAAGACGTGAGCAGAGGAGAAGCTGCAAAGCATGCAAGGAATTCAGGAAGTTGATAATAAGAGATGGCCAGAAGATAGCCAGCATTCACGGCAATTTTCTAAGTAAGCTTATGCAGGATTGTCAAAAATAACTAACGTTTGTATTGCAAACAATGCTGTTGTTATAAAATAAAGTAAATGCTGTGACTTTTGATCTACTTTAATGGTAAGTTTCTCTAGCTACTATGATATCTCTTCAAAGAGGTGACCATTTCACCTTAGAAACCACTTTGCTGTTAGTTCTTTCCTTTTTGTTTTTTATGTGATTTCTTATGACATCATTTGCTAAAAATAATCAGACTGATTCTCGATTCATTGTACATGCAATTGAAGCCAGTTAGGTAGGTAAGTTTACCATAAAACCTTTGCTGATTTGCTCGACTAATACATTTCCGCCTTTGCTAGGGACTGAGTAAAACATCAACATGCCCAATTTAAAAGACTATGTGAATTACAATTGATGGAACATGTCAAATTTGGGTTATCTGCTTTAGTCTGCCCAGTGTAAACCAAATCACAAATCTTTCCTAATCTCTACTATTTACTAATATTTTATGGCCACAAAATCTAATTTCCTCTTTGTTCTAGTAATACATTTACACATTTTGTGACTGTATACTATTGGGGTGTGAAACTTGTATTCACATCTAATAATATGCCTATACAGATATTCCTCAC